TGGTCATAGCTGTTTGCATGTCCCTGGCTCAGGCCCAGGCACCTAGTAGGTGCTTAGTAACGACCATGAAGTGAGTGCACCCAGGCTCCAGGCCAGGCTTCTCACCTGAGTGAGTGTCCAGTAGGGTTAACAGGCCTAGTTAACGTCACTGCAGCCAAATCCTATGGCCAGAGCATCTCATCCTCTGTTCGGTTCCAGTGACCACCAGTGAGCTGGTGATTCCCAAATACTCACCCTGTTCTCTACCCTGAATTTCAGGTTGGAACATCCAAATGCCTCCTGGCTCTCAGGGACCTCCTGCCCTGCCCGCCATGCTCAAGGTGGGCCTGGGCTTCTCCCCTATCCTGCCCTGGCCCCTCCTCCAAGGGCGTCTGTCCCAGGTGACCAAGGCTGGAGCCTTGGGAGGCACCTTTAATTTTTTCCATTTGTTTATTTTCTCTGTCTCATTTATTCAGTCATTCAGCTCAATAAATATTTATTGGGCATTCTGTGTCAGGCCTTGAGCTAGTTCCTGGAGAAGCAGACACCGCCCTCGTAGGCCTTCCCGCCTGCCAGGCATTACATGTGATCTATTAGTTGGAATTGTGCGAGTCATGAGGGGATACGAGGAGCTGTGGAAGCGTCTAGGTCAGTCCCAGTCTGTCGCCTCTGCCTCTGAGGGCTCCCTCTGACCTGTGGGTGCCTCTGGCCCACACTGCTGCTGCGAGCTGCCATCCCCTCTTGCCTGATGCTGACAGGAGACCCCTGGCCCTGCACCCAGGCTCACCCGCCTCCTGGAGCTTCCCAGGGTAGCTGGCATGCTCCCCAGAAAATCACGCGAAGGCTCTTTGTGGCTGGACTTGTTTCTCTTTGTAGTGGCATCCGCACTCTGCTGGGGTGCCTCTGATGCTGGGGTGCCATGCTGCTCTTCTCTAGAGACGAGGATGCCAGCATTGGCTGCTTGGCCAGCCTCTAGCTGCTGGGTGACCGGAGGGGCCGTTGCTGGAGGCCTGGTGTTTCTGGGCTTGATGGGACTTTAGGTCACGTAACTCTCAGGGGCCTCAAGCAGGCTGAGGGAGAAAGTGACTGAGAATCACCGGGTCCTACCTAAACCGCACCAGCTTGCCACCCCCAGCCCTTCTTGAGTTTTCTGTGTGGTCTGGAGATCACTAGTCTGGTCACGCCCGCTCAGCCCCCTCAGTGAGCTCATGAGGGTGACCCCCTGGCTCTCAGGAGGGCGTCGCAAGGCCGGGGTGCTCGGGGTAAGGTAGGAGACACGTACTGGCAGAGCAGCTGCCGGCCTCGGAAATGCGCGCTGCCCAGATGTTCCCTGATTCGGCGTCTGATCTTTACAGCGATTTCCCTGGTGGAGGAGATGGGTTATCAGCACAGTGGGAGAGTCTGAGGACCTGAATTCATTCTGGAAATCTAAGGTTTGGCACAGCTGTAGATGACTCCGTACTTGGTGGGTTGAAACGGGGCCATCATCCTATTACAGCAGGCTTGAATACAGGATGAAATAGCCTCAGATTGGAACTAAGATGTTCTCTGCTCAAAAAGCCCTCAGAATGACCTGGACCTGAACCAGCTCATGCTGTGACCCCTCTGCTCCCTGCCCATGTCCCTGACTGGCTTTGCCCGACTTCTCTTTGATTTGTGGGCCCCGCTCTGGGGCTCAAGCAGGCCTGCCAGGGACAGTAATTTAAGAACCGACAAGAGGGACCATCTGTCCTGAAATTACCCCACTTCTACCCCTGGTAGCCTGCTACTTCCTGAATTCTCACTGTTTCTGGATGTTCCCCGTCACATTGCAAGTGCCCCTTGGGCAAGCCGTAGACAAACACTGTTAACCATTAACATCTCAACGCCGACCAGTTGATTCACCAGTTGGAGCAGCCACTGCAGACCTACGGCAAAGGCCATCATCATAGGCTTCCTCAAAGTGGGACCCAAGGAGCCGGAATCTCTGGGTGCGGGGCCTGGGGTTCTTGTGCTCATTAGGCTTTGAGCGCTGCTGGCTGAGCAGGCCGGGCATGGAGGGAAAATCTGGGGCACTGAGTCCTTTGGGAGGCACAGGCACATTCTGGTCAAGTAAAGTGTACCTAACACAGGGGGTGGGAGAGTTCAGGAGCCGGAGGCTGCCTGCTTCTCGATTGCATTTCTAATTATGTGACCGTAGCCCTGGTCTAGGGACAGCTCCACCCCAGCGCTGGCCCATGCGCTGACCCAGGACCCTGTCTGCTGACCCTGCTCTTGTGTGTCTTATCTACTGTTTAGGTCCATAGATGGCCTGCTAGAAGGGGTCTTAGAGGGTACCCAATCCTACTCCCTTCTTTCAAAGACAAGTGAGACTGAGAGGGGAAATGACTTGCCCCAGCCACACACAGGCATTTCTTGGGTTTAGGACAGGGTTTCCTGGCTTCCAACTGTATTTTCTCTCTCTTGTATTCCTAGGTTGTGACTTGTGATAAATGTACCCTAGATTGCAATACAGTGTTGGGCATGTAACGAACATACCATCTATGTCTCAGAGTTGAGTGGACCATGATGTGCCTCATAAGAAATATCACGGCATAGAGGGAAATGCGAACTTGGATGCCAGGAGACTTCCATGCCGAGCTTGGCTCAACAGCCACTTCCCTGTGAGGAGGCTGGATTCTAAAGCTCCACATAAGGTTCCTATATTAAAATTCTGTCCTGACCAATATGGTGACCACTAGCCATTCATGTGGCTATTTAAGTGAAATGAAATGACACAAAATTAAAAATTCAGTTCCTCAGCTGCAGCAGTCTGCCTTCAAGAGCTTAACAGCACACAGCTCGTGGCTGCTGTACTGGCCAGCACAGATACATAACATCTCCCCTGCTGCAGAAACGTCTGTTGGACAGCGCTGGGCTGGCCTGGGGGGAGGGGAGGTAGGAGGCCAGGTTCCTCATGTCCAGGAGCTTTGGGTTGCATGAGTTCTTCAGAGCATCTGCAGAGGCGTTGGACCCTGTCCTGCCAGGCAGCTCTGTCCTGGGAAGGGCTCAAGTGCCACTCTCACCTTCAAAGAGCATGATGATGGGCAAACGAGAGTTCCGGCCAGGAATCAGCCCTCCCCTTGGCCGACCTGGGCCACAAAGGAAATGGCATCTGTGGGCCTGTTTTAACTCTCTGTTGACCAGAGCGTCCTGACAACCAGCGCACTACAACTCCCTGACATTTCTGCTGGGATTTTCATGTTTGGAAAGTGAGTATGTGAAGTCTTTGACGACTGACTAGTTAGTTTTCAGGGCACTTGGGGAGTGTGGTGTTGAGGATTTCTTTTGAGGAAGGCCTTTGATCAGAGCACCAAATCTCTTGCCAATAGGGGGAAGTGTTGCTAATCCTTTTCAGTGTGGACTTATAATGAAATAAGGTAAACAAACATTTGGCCCCCTCCCCTAAACTAAGCCAGAATGTGACATAGGGGGAAGATGTATTACTGCCTTCATGTCTTGTTTAAGACCTCTCATTTCTTTCCTGGACCTTGACTTCCTTCAAGGTCCCACACCGATACAGAACTCATCTTAGCTGATTGTGTTTCCTAAGAATTCACTCCTCCTTCTGATCTGAGATCTGTCTGAGATCTGGGACACTTGCATGATTCAGCCTATGAGTCTATGTATTTTGCAGGGTCCTCTTCCAGATTGGGGCACTTTTTGGGACACAGAGGAATGAATCTTTAGCTGCTAATTCCATTAGAATTGGTAGGCAGTGGGTGGGGACATTTGGGGACAAAAGCATTGCCCAGTACTCTTCAGATCACCAAGTTATACCATGCAGGTGACTTTCTTCTCCCAAGGCCATGTCTGGCCCCTGACCCCCATCCCTTGAAAAGCTGCCTGCAGGTCCACACCTGCTTCTGGAAGTGGGGCTTGTCTTCAGGTACTTTGGTTCCAGGTCCAGGTGACTCAGGAGGAGTCTCGGGGCCTGGGCTGAGGCTGAACCTTGATTTGGGCTTCTGGCGTTGTTCCCTAGGGTCTGAACTCTTGTGTTCACAACACGTCCAGTACCCAACACCCTCCGGGATCCCTTTGTCCTGCTTTCTCAGGGATCAGCACCCTGGGAACCACTGCCCACCTTCCCACATCCTACCTGAACTGCCCATAGTTCTCTCTGGCCGCGTCTCCTGTGCAAGGCACATGCCATCTAATGTCACATGTGCTACACCTTCCTGATGCCCACTGAGTGATGTTGCTGGCTCTCTTAGTACCCTGTACCTTCTGACACCTGCCAACCATTCATTTATTGAATGTCTATGGGGTGCCAGCCTTAATGCTAATGGCAGTTCAAAAATGTTCTCACTTTATCCTTGCAACAGCCTGAGATAGGTTGGTTCTATTACATCTGTCTGAAAGAAGAGGAAATTAAATTTCAGAGAGTTTTTAAGTAAATTCCCTGATATCCTACAGCTAGTAAATGGCAGGGCCATTTAATCCAGGTCTGTTTTACTATAGAACCTGAGCTCTTAGCACCAGGCTCTTCTGCCTGCATGGTGGCTGTCCGTTTGTACCGGCAGCTGGGGCCGCCCCAGGTGCCTGCTCTACCCCTGCAGGCACCTGCTGGCCCCTTCGGTCAGCTCCGTTGGTGGGGTTGGCTCTGCTTTGCCTGCCCCGGGGAAACGTAGTAACTTTATCATTTCCACACGTCATTTTATGTTGACACAACGACTCTGCATGCTTGGTAATGTTATTGTCCCCACTTTATGGATCAGGAAACTGAGGTTCAGAGAAACTGGGACATTTCCAAGGGCAGCCAACTAGCAAGTACTGAGTTTGGAACCAGAACTCAGCTCTTTGGATTTCTAGCCAGGACTTTTTCTACTGGTCCTTGCTGTCTGTCTAGTCAGCCCCAGAATGGCTCCAGTTGAGCAATAAGAATGCTTCCAATCAGCTCACCCCACATTTTCCTCCCTACTGACCATGTTTCAACTTCACTTTTCTGGCACCAAGTCCTCCTTCCAGCACCTCCTCCTCCCCACCCCCAAGCAAGCCCTCACCTGGATGGTTCAGATGGGACACTAGCAGGTAGACGGTAAAGTCCAGGAAAGAGCAGTTGCACTTCCAGGGGTTTCCGCTCAGATACAGGGTCTGCAGTGTTACGAGGCTGTGGAAGGCAGTGGGGTCCAAGGTCTGCAA